CCCCAAAACCCCAAAACCCCATGACTCTATAGTGACAAATTATAAAGATATATAGATTTTTAAAAATATTATAATAACTAACTATGCGATTAATTTATAATCAAGCTAATTAAAGGAAGTCAAAGATTAATGGGATCTAAATAAACTAAAATATCTGCTACCCCTGAGAAAATAGAAGAACCAAGCAAATACGAAACTCCTGAAAAAAAGAGTGAATCAACTCCTAGATAGAGAAGATGATCGATGAGCAGCAGCATGAGTTTAAGATCAAGTAGATTTTCTCTAATGCAAGGTGAAAGAAAAGTGCAAACTCAAAATCTTTCTGAAACTTTCGAAGATGAAATTTTCGATGGTACAAACATATTTCATAATGAAGTTTTTTATAGATGAATTCTTCAATGTAGATCATAAAAGCTTGTTGATAGAGCTCTGTGTTAATGCTACTCTTTTTGATTAAGTTACAAAAAACTCTTTATTCAGCTTTGAGTTAAAGATTGGAGATGAGTTAATTACAAAATGGAATGAATTATAAAGAGAGGATAAAAAATATTTCAGAAAATGTAGAATACCACTGAAATTCAAGTATCTAGATAAAACTGTAACTATTTTTATAAATTTACTTCTCATTAGATTAGTATTGAGGTTAATCCATAGAAAAAGCAGAAACCCTTACTTCTGATGGACAATGAAAGCGAAGACAATTAATAAAATAAGGAAAATTCATTGACACCATCAAGAAAATCAAATCGTGAGGAGGAGGATTTGGAATATACAATATGTATTAATAGTAATTTATTCATTTTTATAGATGAGGGAGAATACAACTTCATGTAGAATCTTGAAAATCTGAAAATAATGATGCCTGCATTCAACGTCAAGCAAAATCTGTAATTTAATAATTGCTTTTTATTTGTGTTTTATAAGGTTACCAGAGAATGCAATCGAGATAAGCATAGTTGAAGTGAGAAAGCTATAAAATAAATATATCACCTTTATTCTCTAGCTACCATCATCTTTAAAGAGCTTGCTAACTAGCACCTATCTCAAGATTTTTGAAGTTCGAGGATAACAAAAAACAAAGATCTAGGTTTCTGATTTTCAGCTAATTGATCAATAAACTATCATACTTAAAATGTGTATCTAGCACTATGAGGAAAAGCACTTTAATAAAAGAGAGTTCTTAATATAGTTTGAGGACTAGAATAATCATCAGTTAGGATACTATAAGAAATTCTTGGAAAAGCTAAATTTGTCCAAGCCATTTGCTGAAATTGACTTTAAAGGATCAGATCTAGTTGAAGCTCCTCATTTTCCAACGAATAATTTCAAGTTAGTTGGCACATTCTAAAATGGAAAGAGGGAGTAGATCCTACAGAATATTAAAAAGAAAAGTGGTAGGTATCATCTTGATAAGTCTCCCTTGGATGATCCAGATTATCTTCAGCGTTCAAAAAAATCCTTATCATCTGAGATTCATACAGAGCAAGGTTAGATTTATGGGCCTATGAAAATTGAAACTTTTCCCTCAATAAGTTATTTCTTGTGCTCAGGCCACCTTCAAATTATTCCAGTAATTGCTATAGATTTTAGCTTAGGAAATCTAAAATTCTAAAAAGACCTATGTCTACATACAACTCGCATGGACAAGCCTAATGATTACAGAGATTTACTAACCTACATTGCTGATTACTATTCAAATATACCTGAGTTACTATTATTAGGATTCTCTGCAAAGATAAACAAACTTAATAAAACATCATCAAATTTATTCCCTCTCTCATTGAACTTAAAAACTCCATTAATTCCTAATGAGTAGCATATAATAGAGCGTACATATACTGATTGCCTAAGAGAAATTGAATTATCCACACCAATTATAATTACGCCTACATTTAACTTAATTAAGAAGATAGGTTAGTTAATTCAAGATGCTTATGCAGAAAATCAGCATAGAGCAGATAGTTTCTATGTACTATATGTATTAACAGCAGGCATCCTTGATGATATTGAAGAAGTATTAAATTAGATTGATGATAACTTTGGAAGTCTGCCCTTGCAAATTCATTTAATAAACTTGTCAGCTTTTAATCTTGAGTCTGAAGATTTGGATTCTATTAAATTTCAGGAATATACTTCTTAATATAATTAGCAATTTTCTGGATTTTCTCAATTCAACGTTCATTACTATGATAGATTAAAAATAAAATACCTAAATAATAGAGAATTAGCTTTGAGATAGCTAAAAGAATAGGCATTAGACGTGGTAACTAAAGATGTGGAAAGTTATCTATTTCTAAACAATCTGAAGCCAAATAAATATATCATGCATCAAACATCTATGAAAATTGCTTAGGAATACATATCAAAAGTATTTGAATAGGAAAATTAAAATTTAGTTGAGAAATTAGTAGAAAGAGGTTATGATAGAAATAAAATAGAAGATGCTCTAATTAAAGGCAAATTTTATGAATGGGACATAGAGAACGTGATTAAGATTCTAGAATTTGAAGACAAAAAACCTGAAAATTCCCTTAAATAATGAAACTTGTATTTATTTCATAATTAACTCTTACAAAGAAATAAAGTTGCTCTGGGGTTTTGGGGTTTTGGGG